GCCCCCTCCCCCACGCGCCTGATCTGTACTGCGCGCGTACGTCACGGCTTGTCTGTTGAGCGTGCGTGAACGCGTAAGAAACGGGTGAACAAAGAATCGCGGGATAGTGCTATATGTACACAGAGGCCGCTGAGTGCGCCTCAACCTGCAACAGTGCTCAAATGCCCGGAATATGCAGAGCGTAGTACTAGTAGTACTGTACGCAAGCCTGAGGTACACAAAAGGAAGTAAACTGATAGGCCGTTTGGTTGTTACCATGGTTACTGAGTCAGAGTCAGAGTGCAATCTGAGCTGAAGCCGTGAAGGTTTCCATTGCCAGGAGCGAGCAGCGGCCTAGCGGGTCGAACCTAAAACTGGGCTTTTGATTCGTAGACCAAGACTCTAACTAAGGGCGCGTTCGAATTGTCACTCTTTGACTTTTCGAGGAAGTGCGTTTTTCTGAAGAGGTGGCCTTATTGGCCTCTTCAGAAAAACGAAGCTCCTCGGAACTCCTCGAAACTCATCCGATGGGAAGGTGGATTAGTTTCGAAGAGTTTGGAATAGCTACGTCACGTAGTACGTGGAGATGGTCAATCTGATCGGTCGTCATCATCGCCATGACAATTCTACTGAAAAACTATAAAATGATAGAAACCGTTCTAATGGGACACTTCGACTCTCTTTATAAAATTTGTTTGAACAGTTGATGAAGACAATTCGAACGCGCCCTAACTTAAGTGCTGTAGAGGTTCGTGGCGAGCGGTTGAGCGTTTCTGAGCTCTGATTGATAGATATTTCTTTGCTGTATATTGGAGGAATTTCTTCGAGTTTTCGACTTTTCCAGTGCACTAGGGCATACTGCGCCTACGAACGGAGTTGTTCGGGGAGTTTGCTCTCCCATAGCATGAAGGACTTGCTGGAGGTCTTGGAATCTTGTGTTTTCCTCGATATTTCTTTTTACGGAATCACGTTCCCTCTCGAAGCACCATGGAGTTGTGACTCTGCATTCGGATTCAGCCCGTGTAATGGTCACAGGTGCCACGACGGTGTCCAGACCGTACACGCGTGATGGGAGACGATGTCGATATCCGGCAATCTGTATGGGCGCAGGAAGCGTCAAGACGTGAATTAGACGCGCTGCACAGCCGTGTACGCCAGCGGGAGCGAGCGAAGGGAACAGCGGGCAGGTGGGGTGCTGTCGCTACGCTGCAAACGGCGACTTGTGCAGAGATTGTAGATGCCGCGGCCTCAAGCAGCCCTGTACAAACTGCAGGCCAATGATGGATGGGAAATGTCGCAATCCGCATCCACCTCGAGCTGATGATAGAGGTCTTGTGCCGATGGCGGCGCACTCCAATTCACCAAGCGACTGTACCACAGTGGTTCGTGGTTCCTTGGGAGGTGCTGACTCCAGCTTGGCACAGCGGCGGGGTATTCCCGCTTGCCCAGTGCCGGTTCTACCTGGACATGAACCAATGTCGGGCGATCTCATTCTCTCTTCTGCTGGCCGGCTGGATAGGCGCCTTTACCGGTGGCTGACAATGGTGAAATGGACAATACTAGAAATGACAAACAAATTGAACCCTTTAAAACTGGAGCTGATACCAACTTACCTGATGGACAGGAAGCGGTTGATCCGCATTCCGCTGTCAACACTTTAGCTCCAGTATGCTCGCCCGACGTGTATGACACCGGGTCTGGCTTGCCTGGGGGACTTGTGCATGGTAATTAGGTACCAGCCACAAGTGACTTACACTCTGCTTCCCGGGAGACCAGGGGGCACACATCCGGGATGCTGTTGAAGTGAACACCGCTATGTCGACCTTGCGTGTGCAGGGTTCAGCTGATGTCCGGACCGGCTTGGATCTGCCCGAGCCGGAACCCATAGCTAGCTCCGACCTGTCGTTCAGGCTTGGTGACCTGTCCGCAGTGGAGACAGCTGGAGCCATAGAGGCTGCATATAACAAAATGTGTTCACTTTCGCCCGAATGCTTTCTTTGTGCCGTCTGGAAATATTGGAAGGCGATTTTACCTTGACATAATTCTATTCCTGCTTCGGAGATGGGGGATCGTATGAAATGATCGCACTCAAGATTGCAGCCGTCTACCAGATGCTAATGCAGCAGAAGCCGGACTGTGAGAATAGTAGATATTATGGTAAAATACTTGAGCGCCGCATGGACCAGTGGTCCAAGGGAGATTTTGAAGAGCTGCAACGGGAAGCGGACACCATACAGACCTCTCTCCTATCGTCCAAGGACAAGCATAAACGTGATCCAGTGGGTCCGTCGGTTGACCCTGCCAGGCGTTTTGCAGGTTATGTCACCGCGGGCAACTTGAGTGGGCAAGGCGCTCCGTGGCTTGACAAGCGTTGATGATGGAGGCGTGCATCGATTGGACGACGAGATTGACGGACGCACTGTCTGGGATATCCTGAAAGACAAACATCCACCCGCAGAGCCGATGAGCGAGGACGCCGTTATTGGTGGTGATCCACCTGCTCCACCTAATCCGATCTATTTCAGCAGCCTTGGACGTCAGTCGATTAAGAGTGCAGTGCTCGGTACGCAGGGTGCTGCGGGGCCGAGTGGTGTTGACGCCGAGAACTGGAGGCATTTTTGCGCTAGTTTCTCTGACGCCTCCCAGGGCCTTTGCGATGCACTAGCATCGTGTGCAAGGCGTTTAGCCTCCACGTATGTGCACCCAGCATCTTTGTCGGCTTTCACTGCGTGCAGATTGATAGCGTTGGACAAGCAACCCAGTGTCCGGCCGATTGGAATAGGTGAGGTCGCTCGACGCATTATAAGCAAGGCCATCATGTCCGTCGTCGGCCAAGCCGTTCAGGAGGCGGTTGGGTGTATACAGCTATGCGCTGGCCAAGATTGCGGTATAGAGGCGGGAATACATGTGATGCAGCAGGCCTTTGAGCTGGATGACACCGAAGGAATTCTGATGGCGGATGCAAGTAATGCGTTAAACAGACTGAATCGACAGACCCGCTTTAAAGAAATGTTCGGCATTTGTGTCCATCACTTGCTACCGTTCTGATTTGTACCTACCGTGATCCAGCTCATCTCTATGTGGACAGTGAAAGTATCCTGTCACAAGAAGGGACAACACAGGGTGATCCCCTTGCAATGTACATGTATACATTGGGAATAATGCCCTTGATACGTTTGGCGGATGAGGCGGGTGTGGTGCAGTCATGGTTCGCGGACGATTCATCCGCTGCTGCTCGTCTTCGCAGGCCCCGTCTATGGTGGGACATAATGGACAAGAGAGGACCGGCATATGGATATTACGTAAACCCAAAGAATTCGGTCCTTGTCGTCAAGGAAAGGTGTTACCAGGAGGCGACTGAATTAATGCGAGACACTGGTGTTATGATAACGGACGAGGGATCACGATATCTTGGCGCAGCATTCGGAAGGGACAGCTTTCTTCAAAGTTATATCAAAACAAAGGTGGACGAACGGATGGGAGAATTGAAGAAGCTAGCAGTATTTGTGCAAACCCAGCCGCAGGCTGCGTATTCTGCGTATGTGACGGGCCTCAGGGGTAGATGGGCGTTCCTCTGTCGTGCCATGAAAGTACCCGAACCCATGTTCCAACCGCTGGAGGACATTGTGAAGTCAGAACTGATTCCCGCCATAACTTGCCGTGCACCCCCAGGCGACACCCTCCGATGGCTTATGGCTTTGCTGTGTCGTCTGGGTGGGCTCGGTTTGATTAACCCTGTGTCCCTATGCCAACAATACGAATCGTCGGTTCGGATGACGAGCCCTCTGTCTCGGAGAATCTTGTCAAGGGATGGCTCCATCGGTGATTCCGTAGCATTAATCAGATCGGCCAAGAGAGACGCCAAGGCATCTTCTCGACGTCATCAGAAACTGGAATTCGACACGATATCGGGCAGTGCGTCGGAGTTGCTACGACATGTCATTGACGTCGCGAAGGAGAAAGGGTCATCGAGCTGGCTGACGTGCCGTCCGCTTAAGAAGTATCATTTTAATTTATCAAAGGGAGAGTTCTGGGACAGACTCTGCCTCCGTTACGGATGGACACCGGGCAGGGTACCGTCACACTGCTCTTGCGGCCAAGAGGCAACTGTCGCGCATTCCCCGTCGTGCCCCTCCATTAGACACAATGGTATTCGGGACGTCACGGCCCGGTTGCTGGACGAGGTGTGCACCAGTGTGTCCATCGAGCCCTTGCTGCAACCGCTGACGGGGGAGCGTCTTCGCTACCGGACCGCAAATGTGGAGGACCGTGCCCGGTTGGATGTCGCTGCCAATGGTTTGTGGGGCAGTCGTTCTGAACATACACTTGTTGATATACCGGTTTTTAACCCTCACACACGCTCAAATCGATCTGCACCACATACTATTGTGTATCAACGACACGAAAAAGAAAAGAGAAGGCACTATGCGGAGTGGGTGAGGCAGGTTGAGCGAGCCTCCTTTGTTCCGGCGGTCATGTCAGCCAGTGGCGGAATGGGTCCAGCGTCAACACTCGCGGCACTATAAAAACGCATTGCTCATCTGTTGGCTGAGAAGAGGGGTGAGCCGGACCGCTGACTACTCTCAGGCTCACATGATGTTATGGCATTTGTCACGGACTGCAGGGTTTCCGTCAGGCTTCTGAAATCATGTATCATGTGCATTCGCGGTTGTAGCCTCTCTTGTAGGCATATAAATTTTAGTTTGAAATTTGCACCCTCCTGCCGGGAGCCCACGCTGCTTTTGGCAGTGGCGGAGGCTCGCTTGCTGACGTAACCGTCGGAGACCATCATGAACAATGGACTGACTAATTATTCACTTGTCCTGTCTTTCTAAATAACAAATTAACATGTTATTGCACATGTTCTTGGTTTTTAAAAAATTGATTAAAGGGGAAGTATACCCTAAAATCAAATTTTCACCAGTTGTAGTCTTCTGGGTGCTGAGTCGAATGGTCTTGGTCCGAGGAAGCTGCGACGCTCCCTTCCTACTTGAATCCCAATCGAACTCGCGCACTTCCACCAAAACTGGGTGACTGCGCCCTACAAGATGGGGATTTGTATGCAAAATGTCACTAAAAGCGCCATTTCGTTCTTATAAAAGCACGGATGACCGCGATTGGCCCATATGTTGTAGTCTTTTGGACGCTGAGTCGACTGGTTTTGGTCCGAAAAGGCTGCGATGCAGCGTTCCTCCTTTATTCCCAATCGAACATGGTTGAACAAGCGGTCACGTGCTCCTGGGAGCCCAAATCACCTGGTCACCACGCCAGCAGGCGACAAATTTCACACCAAGGTGACAGGAGTGCACCCAAAAAAGGTCAAACAGGCTAGTAAGTAATTAGTTGTACCCTGCAGGCACCGTGACCAGGTGACTGGTGTACGCAGGAGCACGTGACCGCTTGTTCAACCATGTTCGATTGGGAATAAAGGAGGAACGCTACATCGCAGCCTTTTCGGACCAAAACCAGTCGACTCAGCGTCCAAAAGACTACAACATATGGGCCAATCGCGGTCATCCGTGCTTTTATAAGAACGAAATGGCGCTTTTAGTGACATTTTGCATACAAATCCCCATCTAGTAGGGCGCAGTCACCCAGTTTCGGTAGAAGTGCGCGAGTTCGATTGGGATTCAAGTAGGAAGGGAGCGTCTCAGCTTCCTCGGACCAAGACCATTCTACTCAGCACCCCGAAGACTACAACTGGTGAAAATTTGATTTTAGGGTATACTTCCCCTTTAAAAAAAATTGCTTATTCACTGAGTCGGGGCGCCGGGTCTCTCTGGCGCATGGCCTGGACTCCTGGATCATGGAGAGTGCAGCTAGTGCCAGTAGTAGTGGAGCGAGCATGGAGACTGGAGTCATGTCAAGCACACGTAGTGACGTACACATCAACATCGTAGTAAAAATTCTGTGCAAAATCGCCAAAAATAATGACATAATTTGCCATGGAAACAGAAATGGCGTCGAGAACTTACTTTCGATCGCGCGGCCCACGCGTCGTAGACCATGGTAGACAGACTCAGTACGACAGTAGATCTACGAGCGTACCGGTATACCACCATGAGTCCATGACCACGGCCACGCTCATTCTTTCACTCACCGACGTCATTCCCATACGGTACAGAAAATCGTTTTGAAAGCGTTGTGCATGTGTGAGGCCCGGCGCCCATGCATCATGCATCACGCACACACATCAGGAGCAATCGAAAAATAATTGCTGTCTTCTAACTCGAGTACGCGGGCAGTGTTTGTGTTCAGTTCGTCTCTCTCCGAATTAGCTCCGGCAAGGACAGCAGAGGTGTGTGAAGCTCAAGGTTATTTGGCGGTACATAACACAATGGCAGGACAGGTGAGCTCAAGTTTGGAGTTTTTTTTTTTTTTTAATTTGGAGAAGGAGTGGGTGAGAAAATTCTCTTTTTTTTTAGCCTCTTTGCTTTTGTACTGGCTTTGGTCAGGCCGTAGTGCGTTTTGCGGATGGAAACGACTTGCACAAAGCCTCAGTTATGGCGATGTTTGTCTTGCGTTCTGCTGCTGTGGAATCTTGACTGCGACGCTGAGCTACTTGCAGCGTTGGGAGAATGTGTGTGTGTGGGGGGGGGGGGGGGGGGGGGAGAGGGGGATGTGCGCGCGCGCGTGTGTGTGTGTGTGTGTTTGAAAGTGGAACTTGACTAGGGCCATCGGAGCAGAACAGAAGTAGGTCATTGACAGCCCAGTATGATCAATGACTACATAAAGTGCTACCCTTTTCGTATGCAATGGTCAGGATGGATCTGTAGTTGGGGATCTCAGCGCGTGAACTGCACAGCAAGTTTGCGCATGTGAGATTTTAGATCCCAAACGCGTCCAGTGCAGAAACCGTTGAAGAAAACAGTAGAAATGGCTGAATGTTGCATCCAGGAAAGCACGTTCTCCGGCCATCTCCAAGCTACCTATCTCCCAGACACTCTCTCAGAGGAACTATGGAGGGTCAAAGAGCACAATATTTCACTCTTGGACGCAGCGTGAACACCTCTTCTTCTGAGCGCGATGTATTCTCTCTGCCAGATAATGGCGGCGATGTTCGCGATGGCTGATGCACTGAAAATCGAAGTTAGGACAATCTAAGCGGAGAAAATGTCTGAATTTTTCACTGAATCTTCTCTGAAGTAGGTTCTTGCCGCATGGCAAATTATAGGAAAATCGACCGGGGCGATATCGCATTGGCCACGCTGTCATCTGGTTGGGAATCATGATTGTGTAAGAACGACGATGAAGATGACGATTCCGCTAGTGTCGACCGCTTCCGCTAGTGTCGAAAATCTACCGTCGCCATTTTGTAGCTGTGTCCGCGAGCTGCACTCAAAACTCGATGACGCAATGTATGCGCATACACCCTGCGCAGTGCACGTGCTGAGATCCCTACTGTCGTACCTAAAGAGACATTAGTTTTGTTTTTGTTTGTTTGTCTGTAAGCGTGTGCGTGTTTGTTATGTGTGTGTGTGTGTGTGTGTGTGTGTGTGTGGTGGTGTGTGTATGTGTGTGTGGTGTGTGTGTGTGTGGTGGTGTGTGTGTGTGTGGTGTGTGTGTGTGTGTGTGTGTGTGTGTGTGTGTGTGTGTGTGTGTATTGGTGTGTATTGGTGTGTATTGAAACGACTACGATCTTTTCTAATGGCTTAGCTCATACCATTATGATCGACTTATCAGTTTAGTGATTATGTGTAGCTCAATGACAAGTGATCTGCTCTTTCCATTCAGTTGTGAACAGCACAGTTTGCCAGAGTACTCCCTTTGCTCAAGATACGCCCAGGCATCATACCTGGGGTGTGGAGAGAATGCGTTCATAGTTGGCAACACGTGAAACCAAATACTGTACCAAATACTGTATGGACTCGGATGGAGAGCCAAGTTTACTAAACAACCAGTTACTAAACAACCAGTTAGTTGTAGAACGTCAGTACCGTCGGTCAGTGTCGTGCAATGTTATTGCATGAGATGATTGTTTAGTAACTGGTGGTGTTAGTTGTCATTATAGTGTAACTTGTAGTTTCTTGGTCCTTTTTACTTTACTATAAATACTGTATAACTATGCCTTTCTTTCTTTTTACTTTCCTTTGCTTTTGGCGTCATGTGACATTCACCAGCCGCAAACTCTCGATGCCTTCAAGCAGGAGTTGTTCTCCGAGGCCGAGAAGCTTGTGCGAATTACTTTTCCCGAGAAGGTGTTGGAGCTGGATGCCCTGATCAAGGTATGCTTAGTAGTTGGATGGTCTTCTCTCTGTGTGTACGTGTGTACGTGTGTATGTGGAGAATGGGGGGGGGGGGGGGGGTGCGTGTGTGTGGGGGGGGGACTACGTGTGTGTGTGGGGGGGGGGGGGGGGGAGGGATTCGTGTGGTGTTTGTGGGGGGGGGGGGGCATGTGTGTGGGGGGGGGGGGGTATGTGTATGGAGGGGGATGTGTGTGGGGGGGGGGGGGATGCGTGTGTGTGGGGGGGGGGGGGGTATGTGTGTGTGTGGGGGGGGGGGGGGGGGGGGGTGCACATGTGGTGATTTGGGGATGCCGTTGTGGACACCCTTGTTCTGACACAGGTACTGTCCTTCGGGGAAACAATGTTACGTCAGACACCATGTGTTGATCGTAATGCAGAGGAGGTTCTTAGTTTTGACTGTTTTCAAATCCTGTATCGCTTCTGA